AAGATATATATATATATATATATATATATATATATATATAATACATAAAATTTAAGAAATATATAATTGCAATTCTGTAGATCCAAATTAAGGACATGTTTATTGAACACTATATGAAAAACAAAATAAAAATTATAAAACATTATTATTATAAATCATTGTCTATTTCTCTAGTATAATCTCATTTTTTCTTGAGATCATACATAAAGATTTTCATTTTTTGTTTATTAAGAAATATTGCTTCCATGCTTTTAAATATACATATTTTCTTTTCCGTCTCGTATGCAGTTATATACTATATTAGGTCCTCATAACATTTTTTAAGTTTTGAATACTTACCAGATCTGTGTCGGTAAAATATTAAAAAAAAAAAAAACAATTATGGATATCAGATACGCATTAGAAACGGATCCGTGAAACAATATCAGTGCACAACAATGAACCTGGAATTGGAGCATTTAAAATTAATGGGTGAAAGTTGGAGTGGTGACTGGTGACACGTTTGGTTAAATTTCCAGCTCGTTCATTTTGTAGAAGAACGCCCCCTCAATATGAAGGATATATCTTCTCCCTCACTAATACGTTTTGCATGCATGGCCTGCTTTTTCAAAAGCAAGTCAACCGAAACATTTTTATGATCAAACAATTTTGTTTACTTCCTAATTGTACACAGCATTCACAGGGAGAGAAAGATAGGAAAGAAAGAGAAAAATGATAAATATAACTAATGATATAATGAAAGTTAGAGATTATTATTTTGATTTGCAAGCCCAAAGCTCAATCTTTGGTTCTGGCAGAGAAGAGCTAAATTATGCATGCCTTATCAAATGTAAATAATTAAGGTCGTTCATTTGCTGTTCAGAAAATTTCTAACAATGTTGCTACAGTACTGAAGTTTATTTTTTGGTGCTACAAATCGATGTTTTGGGCATTAGACTCATTGGATTAATGCGCCTGGTGCTATTAAAATTGTGCTTCTTTTGGTTCTGTCGCGCATCAATTGTGAGGGAATATGCGTCAATTAATCTCAAAGGTGGAGATCAGAATTTTGTTTTGTTTCCATCCAGTGCATTCCAATTCTGCAGCAACTTAGGTATTACTGATTCTTTCTAATGTATGCACGAAAGTTGGTACGTGACTACTATCCTTAACATGGCAAATTGGCAATGAAGAAGTATTCGTCACCTTTGGAGCACAATCAGCAAGGATTACCTCTTTTGCCACTGTTACAGAAGTGTTTTTCTACACTGGTTATTTTCGGTACTATTAAATGATGATAAATTAATATGATATTCTCATTTTCTTTTTCATATCTGTTGCCTTAAATATACAACAAAGAAAAATAATAACCTAAAGTTTATAGTAATCTTGTCATCATATATAATAAATAATTAAAAATTAAGCATAACATACTTCTAAATTAATTACAGACATGTTTTTACATTTCAATACATAAATAAATCTATCAGCGATGAATATTAAAATTATATATTTTAATTTCATTATATCATTTAATATAACTAGTGGCAAATGTTAATTACGTTTTTTTGTTGTTTTTAATTACTCAGGGTGATACAAAAAGTTAATTATTTGGTATAAAATGTGAACAATTTAATACAACCAACTAACTATATTAGATTGATTTAATTTCGCATAAAAAATAATTTGAATTAATTAAAGTAATATATATTTTACTTTTAAAATTCATATTACATTATATTTTACACTTATTTACTTGATACTGTGATAATTATTTTTATTGTAAAATTTTCATATATCATGTCAAATATTTTCATGAACATTTTAATTATTATATTTTACAAATTTATTAATGAAAATGTATTTTATAATTTTATTTATTAAATATCAATTATCATAATTAAATAAAACGATATCATAATATATATATATAGAAAGCATATCAAGTGAGAGAGAATTTATTATGAGAAATGAGAAGGTTAAAATATAACCTTAGATTAATTTTCTCTCACTTGATTAAATCCTAAATTTTCTCTCACTTGATTAATCTAAGGGTTATATTTTAACCCTCTCATCTCTCATAATAAATTTTCTTTCACTTGATATGCTCCTTATATATATATATTCTATATTAGTTAGGATATAAACAAAATAAGATACTATCTTTACAATAATTTTATGTAGTAATTATTTTATTATATTTTATTTATATCATCAAATTATATATTTTATTTCATAATGTAATAAATCTCTTTTTTATTATAAAAATTATTACGAGAATAACGATCGATACACGTGAAATAATAATTGTTGTTTTATGATTTGATTGCCTTCCTTTCTCCGACTTCGTTTTAAACACGGGACTCGAAGGTTCTGGTTGCTGCGCACCAGCTCGAACAAAGATGTCAACCCTGCATTCGATAACTGCAGACCAACAAAATGCAATGCAAAACAAGTGGCAACATTAGACTTGATAATAAAAATAACCATTTAAAAACTTTAAAAAGTAAGAGAATTAAGAACCAAACATGTTCTCAATTCAACACAGCAGAGTGGAGTTGCCAAATTCAGTTTAGAATTGAGACTGTTGTATGGGGACACGAATCCTCTCCGTTTATAAAAAATTGAAGAGTCTAGGTTAAATAAATATAACCATTTATTGCATGTTTTTATATTTTTATATGTTAAAATTATTAAATATTAAAATAGATAAAAGCCTTAGATTTTATCCGGTTTCGAGAATATGGAAAGAATCTTCTTCCATTGTACCGTAATTTATCATTGCAGTTATTGTTGGGGATTGGTTTTGTTGAGAATCTTATACATAGGTACAAATGTTCTAATTAAGTGGGCATGATTATTTGCAGGTGATAAATGAAATAATTTTTCTTTCTTTGAAAGCTCTATAAAGGGGAGAGTGAGCATAAATATGTAATTCTTTCTGTTTGCTACAGAGGTATTAAGAATTAAAACAAGAATTTAATAGCAGTATGCTAACAGTATTAAAAAAATAAAATAAAATAAAAAACCTGCATCATCTTATGATAAATTATCATGCAATTTTTTTAAAATTTAAGTATAAAAGTATTTTATGCTATTACTCAATTACAAATTTTCATATATGATATATTTATCTATTATAATAATTATCTTCAAAATTAAATTAAAAATAATTTTTAATTAATTGACCTTATAAAAGCTTTTACCATCCGTGTTTATTAAATCCTATAATAATTATTTTAAGGTAATTTTAAATAATTAATAGAATACAAATCTTTAGATTAAAAGTAGGACTGTTCACAATTCCAAAACGGACCATTTTTTGAAACGTTTTTTTTTTATTTTTTACAATAGACCGTGATTTCATCCAAAAAAGAGTTCATTTTTTTTTCCTCAAAATGGATGATGTAGTACAATTTAATCATCCACTTTATACCCATATAAATTGATATTTAAAATATATAAAAAAAACTAAACTAACCACCATTTTTAAACACTTGAACTAATGATACCATTTTTACAAAGTAAGTCGGTTTAATTATATTTTTTTTAAAGCAGTTTGAATTTTATAATCCAATTCAGTCTTTGCTCACACCCCTAATTAAACTGTACATACAACCTCGTGTATTAAAATATGGAAGTTTTCTCCTTTGCCCGACAATAGAAGTCCGTAATATACACGTTTCTAGTCCGCCATAACTACCGGTGAACTAAATTGTAATACCAACCTAAATTACCTACGTTTAACTAAACGAACTACAATATTTTCCTATCAAATACGGAAAATATACTGTGTATGCAGCAGGACAAGTTTGGCTATATCAATTAAACGAATAGCACCATTCCATTAATTCCCTACTTAAGTTACAAAACCTAGTTCTTCCTTGTATGATAAACAAATCAGGCACTTCCAAAGAGGGTCAAAATATTCAAGCTTAATCCCTTGGCTGTAAAAACTAAAATGAAACAAAACTTCAGAAGCAACAAACACATG